AAAATTAAATCACATTTTCTTTCACTTTAGTATGGAGGAAGACGTCCTGAGTCATTGGCTGAATTAATAGAAAAGAGAGGGACTTTAACTCAAGGCAAACAGGCTGTACCTGGAGCCCAAACAAGGAAGTCCTTTATTTTAGGCTTCTTTCTATTGTTTTATACTTGTTCATTTATTTGTCGTCCTTTCCAAAGATTAAGAAAAAGAAAGGATCTTTTATAATAGGAAATGCATAAAAGGCACTATTTGTAAAATACGTGCCAAAAATTATCAAATAACATTTGATAAAGATCTGACATTTACTTCGGCTGTTAATGTTCTAAACTTGTGTAGAATTTCCTTGACACTTAAAAACAAGTAATTGAGAGCCTGTCATTGATCTTATCTGTATAGAGTTTAAGTGTTAGAAATTAAGCCCTCAAATATGGGCATGAGTCATGTTTTTCATTCTTTGAATCCCCAGCCGTTAGAATAAAGCCTGGCACGCACTTGGTGCTTAATAAATATGTCTCGAATAAGCAAATATAATAACTATGCCATGGTGATGGGAAGCCAAGAAAGAACAATGAAAGGAAAGAGAAAATATTCAAATATCGTAAAGATATGACTTTCCTTCTTGTATCTGTCTGGATAGTGGCAACAAAATATTACCAACCTTGGCAACAGTTGAAAACTGTTGGGAACCCGACTGGAAAATTTTCTGTTATTTCAGAAATGAGATGTTTCATTGCCAAGGAAATCAGAGAACAAAGTTTATGGAACTTAGTTTCTTTGTGCATTCAAATGTTATTAATAATAGAACAAAGGAATGACCTACTTCCTACAAAATATTGTTCCTGAGTTATCCTTGTGCAGTGCCCCTCAATCTCTGATGTGTGTATGAGTCGCCTCTATAAACGTGGGGTTTATAGATTACAAGAGTCCGCATTGCTAGCAGCTCCTAAATGATGCCAACACTGCTGATCCATAGGTCACATTTTGAGTAATATGTATTTTGTTAATTTGGGGGGAATTCCATATTTTCTTTCATCTTGACTCAAAGCTCTACCATTTCAATATTAATAAATAATTAACATCAAATATAAAAGTCTGCAACGTTCCTTCAGTGAATCTTTGTATTGATCCTTTTCTCTCTTCCTGTATGGCAGATTATATTTATGTCACCACATCGAGCTATTGATATGACATTCTAATTAGTTGATCTTATTATTATAACATTTTTCATCATTAAGAAATCCAAATTAACCACTTTAGGAAAGTATTGATATCACACCTGAGCATGACTGATCACCCTGTAATAAATATAGCTTCATTGGCAGATTGTTCAGCTATCAGAAAAATTCCCTTTCTTTTCTCTTATTTCAGTTTATTGCTATTACCTGAGGCTGTGAATTGAGCTACTCCTCTCTAGGGCAAGCAACTAACTATTCTCAACCGAGGTCCCTTTAGGGTGTGAAGTATTTCAAAAATAATTATATGGTGAAATTGAATATAATGAAGTAGTGAAACCAGCAAATGATTTCATGATTTAAAAATTATAATTCATTCAAGGTTATTTCTCTACTAGTAGTTCTCAAATCTAAGAATCACTGAGAATGACCTGGAGGACTTCTTAAATCACAAATTCTAGGCCCCACTCTGTTTCTGCTTTATTATATTGGGTTGGGCTTGATAATTGGCATTTCTAAGAAATCCCAAGATGATATTCTAGGCCATGGTTTCTAAATCTCAGCACTATTGACATTTTGGTATGGATAATTCTTTGCCGTGGGGGCTGTCCTGTGCATTGTAAGATATTTAGCAATATCCCTTGCCTCTTCTCACTAAATGCCATTAGCAGCTCCACTTCCTACAATTATGACAACCATAAAGGTCTCCAGACATTGACAAATGTCCCCTGAAGACAAATCAATCCTTAGCTGAGAACAACTGTTCTATGTTGTCATTCTCTTTAGCATGCATTCTAATTTGCTTTATTAAGTGGAAGACTAAGGACTTGTCAACTCTGGTATAAGGGCAGGACTGTGTGTTAAGTGTGCACAACATTTTCCAGGAGTATTTTCATGGAAGAACTGATTGACGACTGTTAGGCTAAAGGAACAAAATAAAGTGGCCGACTGAAAAAACAATCAAAGACTAAAATTGTCCTTGTAGAATTATCCAGCAATAGGCCAAAAGCCTTATATCTCCTCAGTCTTAAATCAGTCTTATGGAGTCCTTTTTCAGCCATGCTCTGTTTTTATAGTATACTCGAACTTCCTCCACCCTCTTTCCCATTCTCTCTCCAAAGATTCTGTCCAAGCCACAAAGTCACCACAGGGAGAGTATTGTTATTACCAGCATATAGAATATGGGGAACTTGATCCCTTTCTTGAATGCAGGGCTATGTTACTGAAATCCAATTCGACACTGTGACTTTGAGTGTGTTTTTATTTAACACCATAATCTCATTGGCTGGTACATTACTGCTGTTGTAGTACTTCAGGCATATTGGAAGTTAAATAGGTTATTACTGATGTTTGAGGGCATTACTGTCCTAACATGTTCCAAGACCTACACGAAAGAACACAAATGGGCATTTGGAACACAATCCATTCTTATGCCAGAAGCTATCTCCAGATATCAGGTATGTTGACACATTTGATTAATGTAAGATCACATTCTCTGTCTCTGTCTCTGTCTCTTTGTCTCTGTCTGTCTGTCTGTCTGTCTCTCTCTCTCTCTCTGTCTCTCTCTCTCTCTCTGTCTGTCTCTCTCTCTCTCTCTCTCTCTCTCTCTCTCTGTCTCTCATTGAACTGAGCTGTCTCATGTTTAGATAGCATTTTAAAAACTTTCCTTTGGCTCTTACATTAAAACTTTATCTTTGTATCCAAGAAGTATCATGTAATCTTTGTGTCTTTGTTATGATTGTGTTTTCCTTCATTTAATTCATTTAAATTACTTTTCTGGAGAAAAATGTTACAAAAGACTCATGGAAAACCTAGTGAATAATGATGTTATTGATATCAATAAAGAGTAATTTCTTCCTGTAAAAGTTGAGCTCTCATATTGACCCAGATTCTTATTAAGAGAAATTTCTCAAAGCATTTTTTTTTCACTTACTGAAAGAAGTCCATTGACATTGGATTCAGATTTCCGTTGAAACAGGAAAAAGAAACTTTAATTTAGAAACTGTGATCCAAAGACACAAAATGAATTCCAGAAGTTTCAAATAATGAAGACTAATAAAGGGCTGCAAAAAAGAAGAGGATGAATTCTCTTTAGGTGAATCCTCTACTCCCTTCCTCTTGTCCCCCAACCCCATCCTCAATTCCCTTATTACAAGCCCTCTTGACTATGCAGTCCTGGTATCTTCTAGTCCCCTCCTCCATCTTCCTTTTGCTCTCCCCACCCATCCCCACTGAGTAAGGATTAAGAAGCCATCTGAAGTGGGAGAATCTCTCCTCTACAGAAAGGGAGCTTTTAGACTACCAGCAGGACAAGGCTGAAAGGAAGACAACTAAAAGTTCTTGCAATACAGGGTCAGAGTAAGGAGAGTTTCGGAGCTAAGCACAGGATGATAATACTATGCTCAAAGGGACCAGCTCCTTCAGAGGCAACACTCAGAAAAAGTTCTGGGACTAAGGGAATTGATATTGATCAAAGCAGAAGACCTAACCAGACAAGTAATTTATATTAAAATAATAAGGTATATATTTTTTTAATTTTAATTAATTTCAAGTATACTGTACATTGATTAGACTCTATATAGTTTGTAAAATGATCCCCACAATTGCTCCCTCCCTCCCCTGGCCCTCCACCTAGCCGACATATTAATGCTAACTGCATTCCCTATGCTGTGCTCCCCATTCTCGTGACCATCCATCAGCTACTGATTTGTACTTCTTTAACTCTTCACCCCATTCTCTCAGCCCCTCTCCTCTATCTGTCATCAAATTGTCCACTATATTTGTGCGTCTGTTTTTGATTAGTTTGTTGTTTTTATTCCTTAGATTCCACATATAATTGAAATCATATAGTGTTTATCTTTCTCTGTCTGACTTAAATAAATTCTAAGTACATCAAAGCAATATCTTTTTCCAATCCATTCCTTTTCATATGTAGGGGTGTTGTTTTTTTATCCTTTCAGCCATCCTATCTTTTAGTTGGAGCACTTAATTTTTTTTCGATTTAAGGTACTTATTGATAGGAATGTAGTTGTTACCATTCTTTATTCTTGTTTTTGATACATGTTTTTTCTTCTTAAAGAAGTCCCTCCAACATTTTCCGTAATACTGGTATGGTGGTGATAAATTCCTTTAGCTTATTTTTGTCTGAGAAGCTTTTAATCTGTCCTTCAACTCTAAATGATAGCTTTGCTGTATAAATTATTCTTGGTTGTAGATCCTGGGTCTTCTTCCTGTCAAATATGTTTTGCCAAGCCCTTCTGTCTTGCATAGTTTCTTTTGAAAAATCAGCTGCCAGTCTTATGGGTGTTCCCGTATAAGTACTTCTCTGTTTTTCTCTTGCGCATTTTATGTTATTTCCTTCACCAGGTTAGGGAAGTTTTTCATCATTATTTCTCAAACAGCTGTTCAACATCTTGATTTTCTTCAGATGGAT